TCTGAGGTCTGTAGAACAGAGCTTCCCAACTGATAGGCCTTGAACAGATTAGAGATGTGTCTAATCCATTCCTCTAATTCCTGGGGACCTAGGGTTCCCTAAATCGGTCAATTCCAGCCAGAAGCAGACTTACCCCATGAGGCCCTGCAAATATCACCCATTCCCATATGTGCCAGGATGCTATACAAATAACATTTTCTATGTGTTTCATGACGTCACAACGATTGGGAAGCACTGCTCTAAAGTATGGATGATCCATAGTCCAGAATGCCTTGAATTCTACGTAATTCAAGGCATTAGGTTATATCTCTCAAATCTCTAATGATCCATGTAGGGATACTCTAGGGTCTCCCTGTGAGTCTCCTCCCCACAGAAAATTGGATGTGTTATTCATAAATTATTTTAGGCTAGCAGTTCTTAGCCCTGGCTGTGTGTCAGAATCACTTTGGGGTTTTAATTTTTCTTTCTTTCTTTCTTTTTTTTTTTTTTTCTGAGACAGAGTCTTGCTCTGTTGCCTGGGCTAGAGTGCTGTGGCATCAGCCTAGCTCACAGCAACCCCAAACTTCTGGGCTCAGGCAACCCTATGGTCTCAGCCTCCCTGGTAGTTGGGACTACAGGCGCATGCATGCCACGATGCCCAGCTAATTTTTCTATGTTTTAGTAGAGATGGTGTTTCACTCTTGCTCAGGCCGGTCTCGAACTCCCGAGCTCACGCGATCCTCCCGGCTCAGACTCCCAGAGTGCTAGGATTACAGGCATGAGTCACCACGCCTGGTCAGGGGTTTTAAATAATACAGATGCTTGGGCCTTACCTCAGATCTAGTAAATGAAAATCTCTAAAGGTGGGGCCGAGGTATATGTATTTTTAAAATATGCTACATGTGGTGCTTTATTATAATATATACAATCTGGCACAGAAAATACAATTCTGGACCAAGGGACTGAAATACTTGTAACTGGCATGAGATATAAATCATAAGCACTTCCCAACTACCAGCCAACCAGATTTTTTTATCCTATGTGATCTGCAAAAATCTAGACATGGAGGCACTGTCTGCAGCATTCAACTATGTCTTTTTTTTTTTTTTTTTTTTGAGACAGAGTCTCACTCTGTTGCCCTGGCTAGAGTGAGTGCCGTGGCATTAGCCTAGCTCACAGCAACCTCAAACTCCTGGGCTCAAGCGATCCTACTGCCTCAGCCTCCCGAGTAGCTGGGACTACAGGCATGTGCCGCCGTGCCCGGCTAATTTTTTCTATATATTTTTAGTTGTACAGATAATTTCTTTCTATTTTTTTTAGTAGAGACGGGGTCTTGCTCTTGCTCAGGCTGGTCTCGAACTCCTGAGCTCAAACAATCCACCTACCTCGGCCTCCCAGAGTGCTAGGATTACAGGCGTGAGCCACCGTGCCCGGCCTTCAACTACGTCTTATATATAGGAAATACTTAGCAAGTTCATGTTAGTGATAATAATAAAATCTGGAGGAATAGCAGAGTCTGGAGCAACTTTAGTTAAGATCAGATACCAATGGAAGTTCTAAGTAGAAAAAAAAAACAAAACAGTTTCTGCCATAGCATTTAAAACATGGGAAAGGGAAAGCTAGCATGGCAAATAAAAAATAAATTTAACTTCAGCTCCAGGGGGGACAGGAAGAAGAAAAGCTGTGATACTGGACTGAAAAAAACCTGGATTCTAATCTGGGTTCCCAGTAGTGACTGCATAGTCTTTAAGGCCTTGCTTATTTTCTCTGGGCCTTCGATAAGGAGAAGCTTTTCTAACCCCTATTCATGTCATACTAGGGGAGAGATTAAAAAAGAAAGGAAGGGAAAAGAAACTTATACATAGCTCCCATTGAGCAATTTAGAGGGTCCAACAGAAGCAGGGCATTATAATCAGAAATCAAACCTGGGTATCACTTTTTTGCCTTAGTTTTATCATGTTAGTAATCCTAATTAAAGAGGGTGTAGCCTGCTCAGAACAGATAGAAATGATGAAGTAAGACTTAGAAATAAGTAGGTTGGAAAGGAAATAAGATCTTAATGAGGAAGTGGTCAGAGTCCAGCTCCACCCCTCTTGTTTTTCTGTATTGGCCCTTGGCTTTATTGCTAAAGGCTACTGCTTTGCTTCCCACAGAGCTGCTCTAAGAACACACAGCAGAATGGCTCATTCCCATAAGGGATTTCTTAAGAGCCCAGTTCCAGAAGGATAGGGTCCTGATCTTTTGTACTTATAGTGAGGTTCTAGCAAGACCGGTTCTAGCAGTCTGATCTCAGCCCACACTGGACATAGCTTTCTTCCACCCATAAAACCAGTTTAGAAGCTAAGTCCAACAAAAACCATCTTTGAGGCTGTTTGGAACCAATCAGTGCTTCATATAGCAGGAACATGGGAAAACTGAAGGGAAGGATGGCTAGAAAAGTAGTAACTGCCTCCTTGAGCAAGTCTTTCACTTCCCAGTTTCTTAGCTTTCTTTTACCAAATTAGAAGAAGGTTTCAGGCAATCACACAGTACTGTTGAGACCATGCTATTTACTCAGTGTTATCAATAAACATCTATTAAAAGGTAGTTTGAGTTTCAGCTTTGAGCAAGACTATTCCAACCATTATTACAAGAGTAAACTGAAATTCAGAGGTGATCAATTTGATGATGAAGCCAAGATCAGACCCTAAACTTCTTGCTTACCTGCAAAACTACATTTTGACAGAGCTACTATCTGTGGAAGAACAAAATCTGAAGATAACAGGTTAGCCTTCAGATCACAACTCCCCTCCCAACCCCCCGCATGATTTTCATAGGTTTTAGAACCATGGTGCTATGGCACCTTATTTTGGAACACATTTACAAAGTATGAAGATAAATTTGAATGCTTCACTAATTCCTCTTCCAACTATTTAGCATTTTCAATGCCTTCTCTTCAAACAGTTCATTGCCTTTAAGCAGTTTAACTGGTTCCAAAAAGATCATTCAGACTGCAGGTGATGACTGGACTCTATAGAATATGAGACTTCTGTCTCCTTAGAAAACAGTATAGTAGGATGGTTAAGAGTTCTGGCTTAGAACGTGGGCCACAAGGTTTTAAATCCTGGCTTCCTCACTTATTACCAGTGTAATTTTGGGAATGTTAGTCAATTTCTCTAAGTCTCAGTTTCATCATTTGTAAAATGAGGATGACAATAAGACCTACTTCATGGGGCTGTTGTGGTGGTTAAATGAGATGCACTTGTGAGTTAATATCTGGGGGGGGATAAATAAAATGAGATTCACATGTAAAAAGCTTGGTATGCAGCATTTACTAAATGTTAGCTCTTATTAATTATCTTGTCTGGTTTGACAGATGGTTCTCAATTACCTCCTACTCACATAATCTAATTTTGTGTGCTGATACTCCTAAGCAGGACATGGGTCTTCCTTAGTATCTAGGGCACAGACTGAAATATCAATGTCCACAAACACAAATCCCAACCTCAACTCACACTGGCAGCCAATCTGGTGAGTGGCATTGAGCAGACGAACACAGGGAGCCGTTTTATTTAAGGGGATATAGATCTTCCTTTCCACTGAGTTTCCCCTGCACAAACCTGATTGGAAGATAAAAAAGTATTAGAAAAAATAGAGAGACATGGGTACCAGCTTCTATTATGTCATTGGCTCCATGAATGTCTTGGGTAAATCATTTAATATCATACTTTCTAAAATGGAACTCATGTCCATTCTTCTCACTTCTTGGGCACATTATTAGAACAGATAAATGTTCTAGAAAGCACCCAGATATGTGCCTCACAGGGTTATTACAAAGTCCACGTAGAGCAATCGACAGTGAAACTAAGAGAAAAAACTTCATCTGTCAAAGTAAAGTGTTTGACCTTAGATGTGCCAGATTCTGGTTGCATGGGTGACCATATTTCTGCTTTTCTGTGTGTACATTACTGATTAGTTAATAAGAAAGTACTGATCTGAGAACATAGATTACAATAATAAAAATTTTCTGAGACATTTTTCCAGGAGTGTCAACAGAATTGGAAGAAACATTATGCCATGATGTTAATCAAACATCAGTAAGTTATTTGCGTGTGTCCACAGTGTGGGGCAGCTATAATTTCTCCTTTGGGTGTCTTTAAAAACAATGCGAATTTGGAGGAAAGCACAGTCATGGTTATATTCAGGCATGTTTGCATTTTAGGGCTCAACCAACTAGAAAGCCATATACCAGAAAATAAACACGTGTAAGCAAGTATTTTTGTACATTATAAATGTCTAAAATTCCTTGAATCTTCAAGGAAGAAATTCATGATCTTAACAGTTAAGAGTACCCATATCTTACCTTGTCTCACTTTACTGATGAAAGAAACTGAGGCAAGGCACAGAGATACGGGTTTACGGTGCAATCAACAGAGGAAGAAAGGAGGACTCTACATTTTAAGCGCCGCACAGTACCCACAGAACGGGGCTGCTTTCATCCCAAAAAGTCTAAACACGGAGAAGAAAGCTGAACTTTCACACCTGTTCCTTTTGATTGTGGGTGGGGCGGCTGGGACTGTGGGGAAAATGAGGCACTCAGACTAAGTGGGAGAGGGTCGGGCTGGAAGTACAGGAAGAGGCCTGGAGGAGGGAATGAAGCGACACGACGTGCCGCGGGGGAGAAGGGACCTTCAGGTCTAGGCAAAGGGGGAACTTCTGTCGTGGGAACGAAAGAAAAAGAGGAGTTACAGGGTGGGGGGACAGAGGGGCAGCTGGGACCAGAAGGGAGACGGCGGCGCTTACGGCTGGGCAGATCCCGAGAGTTACCCTTGCAGAAGGGAGCTCACGGGCGAGGAGACCTCACCTGCCAGTAGGACGCAGAAAGATAGGCGAAGAAGACCCCGACTTCCCGGGTCAGCCCCAGAGCCGCCCCCAGCCGTGGCCATCTTGCCTCTCAGCTGAGCGGAAGCTTCGGTTTCCCTCCTGTAGGATAGCGGCCTCTCTAGGCTACCCCTGACGTAGTCTCTGTGGCTTGGAGGTCCAGGGGCCGGAAGTTCGTATATCCGGGAGCTTCCGGGAGCCGCGGCTCAGGGTCGCTGACGTGGAAGCGCCCGAAGGGCAGCGGGGAGTGGCGGGTCTCCGATTAGGACGTCGGATTCGGAGGCCTGAAGGATGCTAACCAAATTCGAGACCAAGAGCGCGCGGGTCAAAGGTAGTGGAGATGAAAAGGGGGAACATGGAGGCTTGATGTCAGCGGCAGCGCTGACACAGGGGAAGAGAGACTGGGTAGACGTGCAGGCCGAATTGGGCCCACCGGACGGACCCACAGGCAAACGGGAGGGGGAGAGGTTAGGCTTGGCCGGCGGTTCTCCAGTCCTCTCTTCTCTGACATGTCCTGGACCTTCGACTTACCTGTATAACGTAGTTCCCTCACCGCAGGTGTTTCCTTAAGCCCGCTGCTTATTCTTTCCCCTCCATTTCTCTTCTAGAGGCTGTGTTCTCGACTTTTTATTCTTCTGTTCCCAAGGCCCTGCGACCTTTTTTTTTTTTTTTTTAAATTTTTTTTCTCTTAAGACTTTATAAGCAAGGAGAGCAGTGGCTTTTTTATTGCTATGTTATGTGGAGTGGCCCTAGGGACCGAGTCTCGACCTCTGTCACTCGCACCCGAGTCAGTAGCTTTTTTGCAGACGAGCACTGGCTACCTCATTTAAGGAGGCCTTGGCTGCACCATCTCAACATCCAGTGTCTCCATTGGGCTTTACTTCCTATCCGAAAATAGGACATTGAGATTTGTAGCCCCAGTGAAGTCTGAACTTGATAAAATTGTCAGATAAAATACAGGACACCCAGTTAAATTTAAATTTCAGACGAACAGCTAATGGTTTTTTGGTATTGTTCGTTGTTTAGCTGAAATTCAAATTTAACTGGCCAATTTTGTATTTTTGTTTGCTAAATATGGCAACTCTAGAGGTGGAATGTAGGTCGATGGAGGTGGAAGGCAAATGACTGAGATCACAATAGTAGTCTTTCAGAATTGTTAGAATGGGAAACCAGAGAAGTAAGGTTTCCTGAGACCTGGAAAAAATATTTCTGGAATACTTAGCAAGATGCAGCATAGCAAGCAAAGTTGTTAGGAACGTGGTCTTTGGAGTCAGATGGGCTTGCTTTAGAATCCTGAAACATCCACTAACAAGGTAAATGACCTTGGGGGACCTACTTAACATCTAAATCTGTTTCCTCATCTATAAAATGTGAATAATGTTCTCTTATAGAGAGAATTAAAATGAGAAAGTATATGGAAAGTATAATGGTGTTTGGAGTGGACTCATTAGCTCAAAAAATGGAGGCCATTATAAATGTGAGAATATGTTTTGAGCAGTTTCTAAGTCTCATGGGAATCGTGATCATGGAGGGTATGATGGCTCATGCGTGTAATCCCAGTGCTTTGAGAGGCCAACGCAGGAGGATCGCTTCAGCCTAGGGAGTCTGAGACCAGCCTGGGCAACACAGACCTCATCGGTACAAAACATAAGAAAATGAACGGGGTATGATGGTGCACACCTGTAGTCCCAGCTTCTGGGAGGCTGAGGCAGAAGGCTCGCTTGAGCCCAGGAGTTCGAGATTACAGTGAGCTGTGATTGTGCCACTGCACTCTAGTCTGGGTGACAGAGTGACCCTGTCTCTAAAAAATAAATAAATGAAAGAATTTCTGGGACCTGGATAGTTGAAATGGGTCTTCATAATGCTTGAGTTTTCCCCTCTCCTAATTTCTTGGGCAATAGAGAAGAAAAAAGAAAGATGTCAGAATATTTGAGGGTTAATAATCATTAATGAGGCCGGGCGTGGTGGCTCACGCCTGTAATCCTAGCACTCTGGGAGGCCGAGGCGGGCGGATTGTTTGAGCTCAGGAGTTCGAAACCAG